GAGAGAGAGAGAGAGAGAGAGAGAGAGAGAGAGAGAGAGAGAGAGAGAGAGAGAGAGAGCAAACTTGAGTTGTTTCCATTGTGATCAATATACTATGAAGATTCAAGGGAGTGTGGTGGGAAAGCCATAATGAGAGAGTAGCAGTAATGGCATTGTCATGGCATCTTCACATTGTGTTTGAAAAGCGATAATGAGAGAGTAGCAGTAATGGAGAAGAGGGAATTTTGTTGGTGAGATGATCTAGTTGGCGCATGACTTTGTTTTGGTTCCCAGGTCTTTAATAGTAGATTTGGTTTTGTGGATCAGATATCGATCTTGGTGTTTTGCTTTTCTGCGTGCTGATAACGCTTTCGAAAAACACATTCTTCGGAATCTACTCACGATAACTCGATATGGGTAGCGGCAGTACGGAGGTAGTGTGAGTGTTACCGTCAGTGATGGGAACGCTCCTTTCTTTTAGTTAGCATAAATAGGGTAGGAAACAAACTTGAACTGTATCCATAGTGATCTTTATCCGTTGATTGATATTGTCACTGAATATCCAAGAGTGCGTGGTGGGAAACTCGTCTAGGCGGTTTAGGCTTCCTTGAGTACAGATCTGTACTGTCTCTTTTCTGTAAGATCTTGAAGTGAAGCTCGATAAGGCTCCCAGACAGATTAGCAGGAGACCCTGAATATGAATTTCTAAATAGTTCTTGGCTATTTTCCTCCCTTTATTTCGGTTTCCTAAAGTTATGGTCCAGTTGCTCAATTTCTTTGGAGTTGCAGACCCACAAGTGGTTAACGACCTCCTTAAGAATTTAAGAATGAAAGATCATGAAGTCTGTTATGAGAGGTCTAAAATCACTGGAATGACCTGAAGACATTTCATGCCATTTCAGGAGTTACAGGTAGTTTGGGGGTCAAATTTTATGTTTTTTTTCTTTATTTTTTTTGCCTGTTTTTTTTTTTTAATTCATCGTTGTTGTGGGCCACTTCAAGTCATTTCAAGAGTTTCAGGTGGGGAGGCCTGAAACCTCTGAAGAGACCTGAAGTGGATGAAGCTTCTGAAAGCGGTTTCAGGTCCCCCCATCTAAATGGTTGGATTCATGCATCTCAAACCACTTTCAAATTTTCAGCAACTTCATATTATTTCAGAAGTTTCAGATGGGGAGACTTGAAACCTCTGACATGATCTAAAGTGGTTGAAGCTTCTGAAAGTGGTTTCAGGTCCCCCCATCCAAATGGTTGGATTGGGGTATCTGAAACCGCTTTCAGATTTTCAGCCACTTCAGATTATTTCAGGAGTTTCAAATGGAGGGGCCTGAAACCTCTGAAATGATCTGAAGTGGTTGAAGCTTCTGAAAGAGGTTTCAGGTTCCCTCATCCAAATAGTTGGATGGGGACATCTAAAACCGCTTTCAAATTTTCAGCCACTTCAGATCATTTCAAGACTTTCAGGTGGGGAGATTTGAAACCTCTGAAATGATATGAAGCGGCTGAAGCTTCTGAAAGCAGTTTCAGGTCCCTCCATCCAAATGCTTGGATGGGGGGACTTGAAACCGTTTTCAAAAGCTTCAGCCACTTCAAGTCATTACAGGAGTTTCAGGTGAGAATTTGAAACCTCTGAAATGACCTGAAGTGGCTGAAGCTTTTGAAAGCAGTTTCAGGTTTTCTCATCCAAGTACCTCACACCCGTCTGAAGCAGCTGAAAATAACATGAAAATAAAGACATATGTTAACCTTCTCTCTGCAGACTATGGGACGCTGGACCTGGTTTCCAGCACAAGCTTCACGACCGGGTTGAGATGTTGAGGGATTCCCAACCTCATTCAATAACATTTTTTTCGTTTTTTTGAAAGCAATAAAAATTACCCAATAAAACAAAGATCGAGGTCGGTGACCTCACAATTCGACCCGAAAATTTTGTGGCAGCCTCAGCCAGTATAGCTTCCAAAAGAACGTACAAACAGCTCATTGAGCTCAACGTAGCTGGAACTTGAAACCGGGTCCAGCGTCCCAACCTTATCTATATCTTCCCAAAATAAACCTTGGAACACAAGAAAAAAAAAAACCGATGGGGAGTATTCTGATCCTCCTACCAACATTACGCTCCGTTTGAGTATACTGGGACCAGAGGGCACAAATTACATACCGAAATCCCACTTTGTGGTAAGCTCCTATAGCACCAACCTGTACCAAATCCTTCACGACCAGAGGATATTCCGAACATATACATTAGGTCTTCCAAAACTCATGTCCAAATATTACTTTATACTCCTGGTCTAATGAAATCAACATATTACGCCAGGCCCATGCTTTTAAAAACCATGGGCAACTTTTCCCCTGGTGACCTATCAGTTGGGAAAAATCATGGCGGTTGGAAAAGTCGGAAGGGGAAAAGTCGTCCACAACCGGGGCGCCCTTGGGCGGGGGAGGTGATTAATTTCCCCTAACCCGTTTTTTCGTTCTACAACCCCTTAGGAAACACTTGGAAATTGCGCAATTTCGTTTCAACTGCTGACGTCACGACTTTCGGAACCCTCGGACGCGGCTTGGGATCTTCGGCCAGCAGCAGTGGTAGACGAATGTAGTTCAGGCCGGTTCGGGCCCATAGGACAAGTTGCACAAGATTTTTGCACGACGGCAAAGGCTACCCGTTCCTCTGTGTCCCTAACACGCCCGCCGGAATGCCTTTCGGAGTGCAGGCCATTTGAAATTCAAAATTGGTCCGATACCCTGCGGTCACCGCCACTGTGAAACACAAAATTGGGTGTCCCCATATCCTACATAACAATTGTGGGTGTAGTGTGCAAACCCTTTAAGTTGTATTATCAGCGAAGCGACAACCATTGTTTTGTACCACGAGAACTGCAACACGTCTCACACGGGAGCGGGGACACGTCAGTCGATGTTCGTCAACGATGGAACACACGAGAGCGGGGGGACGGGAGGGAAGGGAGCTGACAGTCCGGGAGAAGAGCTTGTTGGTGGCATCATTGGTCACAGTATGTCGCCATCTTTAGACGGTGACCGCTGTGCAGCAGGGTTTCGCCAGACAGAAGGCAACGAGGGAGGCGGTCATCGGGCAGGCGTTGTTGGACGTTCATTCCTCACTGGGTGTTTGGGACACACCGTTCCTTCTTGCGAATGCCACTGTCGTCGGGGTGCTGCCGAGAGAGACCCCGCGGTGGTGGGTGAATCGCAGGACAGGCGGCACGTGAAAGGACCTCGTCATCGCTGACGATGCGACAACAGACTATTGTCATGACAAGTTGCACATGCCGATAACCTTCTTCAACGACATTGTCGCCACCTGCGCTGGTTTCCTTCACTGTCAGCTAACCCACTACCATGAGCCGCTCCAGCCGAACCACACAGTCGTGTACGTGCTTTACAAGTGGACGACGAGGGAGACTTTTGAGGACAGCACGTCAGCGTTTGACATTGGAAGGGCGACTGAACGTGGTGAGGGACGTGACAAGCGCCATCTTGACCGCCTACCCTGACAAGATCGCCATGCCGACAAGCAGACGTCTTCTCCAGATTGTGCGTGCTTTCAGGGGAAAGGGCTTCCTCAATTGCATGGGTGCAATCGATTGCACCCATATTTATGTCGACCAAATTGCAAATGTGTCATCCGAGAACTACTTCAACCGCAAACAACAGTTCTTGGTGGTGGTGCAGGTTGTCGTTGACTTAGATATACTCGTGTTGGACGTCTTCGCCGGTTACCCAGGGAGCGTCCACGATGAGCTCGTTCTGTGGAACTCGTCTCTCTTCAAACACGCCGAAGTAAGGAACATTTTCAATGCTGAGGTCGTTGTCCTACCAGATGTGTGACGACTACATGATACTTGCTCGGGGACAACAACTACGCACCACGTAGGTTGATTATGGTTCCTTAGGGGGGCATGAACCAGACCAGGGATGTCACCCTCTTCGACACAAGGCAGAAGACGAGGAGAGGGGTGGTGGAGAGGACGTTTGGAAGGCTGAAGGGTATGTGGAGGTTATTCCTTCGTCACCTTAAGACGAACATGGATGACCTCCTGCAACAGGTTATGGTCGTCTGCATCGTGCACAATCTTCTTCTCGAGGCTGACATTGACATGGACGAGGGGTTATTGGTGCAACCCGACTCGAATGGGAATCCGGTCCCAATTGACCTCGGTCTGCCAGACCTGATCCATCCAGTGTCCCAAACCGAAACCGAGGCTACTCTCGCTCTCTCGGACGCGCTCCGCATTCGCATGCAACAGTGAGGGCGTCCTTCGTATTTTTGAACTTGCGATTTATGACAAACGTGCTTTGATGAATGAGGGGCGGTGGGGATTCCTGCACTCTCGCCAATAATGAGGGGTGGAACGCGGTTAGTGTTTTCCTGGGTGTGACACCCACTAGTCAATCCTTCGTTATTTGGAGAAGAAATCAATGTTGGCGGGCTATGTCTCTCTTCTTCTTCCTTTGTTTGATATGCTTCCGCCAAGGATTCGATGCACATTCATCAGAAGGACTTATTGGCTGGTGAGGCTGTATTGTTTTTGTCTAGCATTCATCGGACGAAGTTATTTATTTGTCAACTCTATGATTATGTTGTGTTTTTATGAGTTTCATTTCCATAACATGTTACGTTTGTCAAAGTCGATGTAAACAACCCTTGAACTCTCTCTCTCTCTCATTCAATCAATCACTTGCTTGCACGTATTTCCAGTCTGTCAATGCAGTATTCGTTAGTCGGTTTCGTTTTCGATCGATCTATTGACCACGCACTATATGAGACACATGCACAACGGAAGGCGAAGAGGGAGTGGATTGGAGAAGATGTCTTCCCCCTTCGTTCGTTGGACATTAAGTGAATAAAGGAATAGAGGTAAAGGTCAAAACACTTTCTTCCTTCCCCTCGTTGTTTTGACAATCATTACATCAGATCACCATCAAACACACATATCATACCAATGTGCCATTCAATTGAGTTAAGGAATTTGCATTCACATCAGGCAGACAACAATGAGGACAACCACTTAGTTACTGTAACGAAATAAACTGACTCCATACAACTTCCAGCGTTGGTGAAGAAACAATGATACAAAGTTTGTGCACTTCCCACATCATCCAAGGCGGTGACACCGACAACAAGTCGCAAATTAACCCGCAAGGGCCACAACTACTGCAACTACACACAAAGTGTGACTACGTGGTAGCATTAATTGCCTCTCTCCACAAGATGTTATGGGGAAGAAGGATTGATTGTCCGCTTATTTCTACCCGCGCATTTGAAACCATATGACGTGACCTTCACCCCGACCGCCAGAAAACCTTATGCATAGATCCATCGTCACACGTTTTGACGTCGAACACGGTGGTTTTTCCCACATCTCTCTCTCTTTCTCTCTCTCTCTCTCTCTCTCTCTCTCTCTCTCTCTCTCTCTCTCTCTCTCTCTCTCTCT